AAGATTTCTCAAAAAACAACTAAATGAAATAATATTTTTAGAAGAAAATACGGTATAAGATCAGAGAATTTATTTCCATTTTGACCTATTTGAAACTTTTGTATATAAGAGCAGTTTCTTGTTATTTCGAGTAATGCAAGGAAACTAAGCTCCGATTTATAAGCTTGAGAAAATTTCCAATAAGAATTTATAACGTGCATATTTTCGAATCAATTAAACCAGTTTAAATTTGACAATAAATGGTGCAGCCATCGGAATATTAATTAAAAAAATATTTATTTTAAAATTTTTCAAAAAAGTTCCACATGATGTGATATATTTTAGAACGAGTTCAAAAATACCTCGATATTTGAAAAAAATAACTACACAAGCTAAACCTGCGCCGGGATAACAATTTAAAAAATATTTCATTCAAGATTTCTCAAAAAACGACTAAATGAAATGATATTTTTTGAAGAAAATACGCGATAAGATACGAGAATTTATTTCCAGTTTGACCTATTTAAAACCTTTGAATATAAGACCATTTTCTTGTTATTTCGAGTAATGCAACAAATTAAGCTCCCTGATTTATAAGCTTGAGAAAATTTCCGATTAGAATTTATAACGTACATATTTTCGAATCAATTAAACCAGTTCAAATTTGACCAAAAATTGTGGAGGCATCGGAATATTAATTAAAAAATTATTTATTTCTAAATTTTTTAAAAAAGTTCCACCTGATGTGATATATTTTAGAACGAGTTCAAAAATACCTCGATATCTGAAAAAAATAACTACACAAGCACAAACCTGAATTAAGAAAATCTACTGTTTTCGGACAGATCGACTCCAAATTTGAATTACCGCAATTAAGCGAATTTTCCACCGTTATTTTAAAGAATACAAAGGAAATAGTCGCAAATTTGTGTTCTTGATAAAATTTCCGATAGAAGAAACTTGTTTTCGGAGCAGTTTATTGAAATTTAAAGTTTTGAAAAAATGGTGGATGCGCCGGGACAATTTAAAAAATATGGAATTCAAGATTTCTCAAAAGAAGATTAAATGAAATGATATTTTTAGAAGAAAATACGCTATAAGTTAAGAGAATTTATTTCCAGTTTGACCTATTTAAAACTTTTGTATATAAGAACAGTTTCTTGTTATTTCGAGTAATGCAAAGAAACTGAGCTCCGATTTATAAGCTTCAGAAAATTTCCAATAAGAATTTATAACGTACATATTTTCAAATCAATTAAACCAGTTCAAATTTGACCAAAAATTGTGGGGGCATCGGAATATTAATTAAAATGATATTTATTTCAAAATTTTTCAAAAATTTCCACATGATGCCATATATTTTAGAACGAGTTCAAAAATACCTCCATATCTGAAAAAAATAACTTCACAAGCATAAACCGGAATTAAGGAAATCTATTGTTTTCGGACAGATCGACTCCAAATTTGAATTACCGCATTTAAGCGAATTTTCCACCGTTATTTTAAAGAATACAAAGGAAATAGTCGCAAATTTGTGTTCTTGATAAAATTTCCCATAAAAGAAGCTTGTTATCGGAACAATTTATCGAAATTTTAGATTTTGGAAAAATGGTGGATGCGCCGGGAAAACAATTTAAAAATTATTTAATTCAAGATTTCTCAAAAAACAACTAAATGAAATAATATTTTTAGAAGAAAATACGGTATAAGATAAGAGAATTTATTTCCATTTTGACCCATTTGAAACTTTTGTATATAAGAGCAGTTTCTTGTTATTTCGAGTAATGCAAGGAAACTAAGCTCCGATTTATAAGCTTGAGAAAATTTCCAATAAGAATTTATAACGTGCATATTTTCGAAACAATTAAACCAGTTTAAATTTGACAATAAATGGTGCAGCCATCGGAATATTAATTAAAAAAATATTTATTTTAAAATTTTTCAAAAAAGTTCCACATGATGTGATATATTTTAGAACGAGTTCAAAAATACCTCGATATTTGAAAAAAATAACTACACAAGCATAAACCTGCGCCGGGATAACAATTTAAAAAATATTTAATTCAAGATTTCTCAAAAAACGACTAAATGAAATGATATTTTTTGAAGAAAATACGCGATAAGATAAGAGAATTTATTTCCAGTTTGACCTATTTAAAACCTTTGAATATAAGAGCATTTTCTTGTTATTTCAACAAATTAAGCTCCGATTTATAAGCTTGAGAAAATTTCCGATTAGAATTTGTAACGTACATATTTTCGAATCAATTAAACCAGTTCAAATTTGACCAAAAATAGTGGAGGCATCGGAATATTAATTAAAAAAATATTTATTTCTAAATTTTTCAAAAAAGTTCCACATGATGTGATATATTTTAGAACGAGTTCAAAAATACCTCGATATCTGAAAAAAATAACTACACAAGCACAAACCTGAATTAAGAAAATCTACTGTTTTCGGACAGATCGACTCCAAATTTGAATTACCGCATTTAAGCGAATTTTCCACCGTTATTTTAAAGAATACAAAGGAAGTAGTCGCAAATTTGTGTTCTTGATAAAATTTCCGATAGAAGAAACTTGTTTTCGGAGCAGTTTATTGAAATTTAAAGTTTTGAAAAAATGGTGGATGCGCTGGAACAATTTAAAAAATATGGAATTCAAAATTTTTCAAAAGAAGATTAAATGAAATGATATTTTTAGAATAAAATACGCTATAAGTTAAGAGAATTTATTTCCAGTTTGACCTATTTAAAACTTTTGTATATAAGAGCAGTTTCTTGTTATTTCGAGTAATGCAAAGAAACTGAGCTCCGATTTATAAGCTTCAGAAAATTTCCAATAAGAATTTATAACGTACATATTTTCAAATCAATTAAACCAGTTTAAATTTGACCAAAAATTGTGGGGACATCGAAATATTAATTAAAATGATATTTATTTCAAAAATTTTCAAAAATTTCCACATGATGCGATATATTTTAGAACGAGTTCAAAAATACCTCCATATCTGAAAAAAATAACTTCACAAGCATAAACCGGAATTAAGGAAATCTATTGTTTTCGGACAGATCGACTCCAAATTTGAATTACCGCATTTAAGCGAATTTTCCACCGTTATTTTAAAGAATACAAAGGAAATAGTCACAAATTTGTGTTCTTGATAAAATTTCACATAAAAGAAGCTTGTTATCGGAACAATTTATCGAAATTTTAGATTTTGGAAAAATGGAGGATGCGCCGGGAAAACAATTTAAAAATTATTTAATTCAAGATTTCTCAAAAAACCACTAAATGAAATAATATTTTTAGAAGAAAATACGGTATAAGATAAGAGAATTTATTTCCATTTTGACCTATTTGAAACTTTTGTATATAAGAGCAGTTTCTTGTTATTTCGAGTAATGCAAGGAAACTAACCTCCGATTTATAAGCTTGAGAAAATTTTCGATAAGAATTTATAACGTACATATTTTCGAATCAATTAAACCAGTTTAAATTTGACAATAAATGGTGCAGCCATCGGAATATTAATTAAAAAAATATTTATTTTAAAATTTTTCAAAAAAGTTCCACATGATGTGATATATTTTAGAACGAGTTCAAAAATACCTCGATATTTGAAAAAAATAACTACACAAGCATAAACCTGCGCCGGGATAACAATTTAAAAATTATTTAATTCAAGATTTCTCAAGAAACCACTGCATGAATTGTTATATTTAAAAGGAAAATGTTCGATTCTTCGAAAATAACTCGATTTCCGAAAAAAATGACATAAGAGACACTAATCTGAACAAAGAAGAGAATTTATTTCCAGTTTGACCAATTTAGAACTTTTGTATATAAGAGCATTTTCTTGTTAATTCGAGTATTGCAAGGAAACTAAGCACCGATTTATAAGATAGAGAAAATTCCGATAAGAATTTATAACGTACATATTTTCTAATCGAAAAATGGTGGAGGCATCAGAATATTGATTAAAAAAATATTTGTTTTAAAAATTTTCAAAAAACTTTTGCATTTAAGCGAATTTATTGATTTATAGGAGCATTTTTTTTGCTATTTTGAGTAATGCAAGGAAACTAAACACTGATTCGTAAACCTGAGGAACTTTCCGATAACAATTTATAACGTACATATTTATTTTCGTATCAATTAAACCAATTTTAATTTTTTCCAAAAGTAGTGAAGGTGTCGGAACATTAATTAAAAGAAATTAAAAAATTTGGGAAAACTTCCACATGATGTGATATATTTTAGAACGAGTTATGAATTTGTTCGAAAGTACCTTGATATCTGAACAAAATAATTAAGTAAGCACGCACAAGTGGGAATTAAGGGAATCTAGTGTTTCCGGGCCAATTCGACTCCAAATTTAAATTCCTGCATCTAAGCGAATTTTTCTCCGTTATTTCCGAGAATTAAAAAAAATAATCCCAAATTTGAGTTCTTTTGAAAATTTCCGAAAAAGGAATTTGTTTTGGGAGCAGTTAATCGAAATTTAAAATTTTGGAAAAATGGTGGATGCGCCGGGATAACAATTTAAAAAATAATTAATTTAAGATTTCTCGAGAAACCACTACATGAAATCGGATATTTCACAACAAAATGTGCGTTTTTTCGAAATTAACTTGATTTCCGGATCTACTGTTCTGAGTAGATTTAACTCCAAATTTAAATTACCGCATATAAATGAATTTTTCTCCATTATTTCCGAAAATACAAAAAACAATATTGTGGGTCGACCCAGGGACGCACGGATGGAGTTTCAACTCTTCGTTGTCAATTTATATCAATTAAACACGTATACGTGGCAAACTCATTAATTTTCTCTTAAAAAATAATAAAAACCAAACATATGTTGCATTTGCATTTTTTGACAAAATGATGATTAATGATGATGATTGGGTTAATTAAAGTAAATATCTATGTATTGTCAATTGTTGTTTATTATAAAATATACTTTTTTTATTTATTTATCATATAGAATTATCTAATTATTATAATATAGCGCGGCATTATATGCCTATGTTCAGACCAGTGTGGGTGTCGGTGTCGGTGTCGGTGTCGAACTCGACATCCTATTCTAATACGAAAAGAAAAGAGTTAAAACTCCAAAAATCATCACAAATTTGTGTTCTTGAGAAAATTTCCGATGAAGGACCAGTTTATCGAAATTTAAGGTTTCCGGAAAATGGTGGATGCGCCGGGATAAGAATTTAAAACATTTTTAATTTAAAATATCTAACTGGGTAAAATTATAAATATACCTCTATATTCGGACAAAATAACACAACAAACATGACATATTTTTCGATCTAGATTTGGTAAAATTTAAATTATTGCATATAAAGTCAATTTTCTCGGTTATTTCGACCGATATAGGGGAAATGAGTCCAGGATATCACACTAACGAAATTACTCCGACTTTTTGTTTATCAAACTTTGCTTCATGCCCTGCTGAAGCCATGTGTAGAAATGGATCTGCTGAAGAGAATTCTCCCGGGGAAAAACTTATTCCCACATTTGAACTGGAAACCACGAATTAATCTTCCACTGTTTGCGGTGCGAAACCAGCAGACCGCAATATTACACCATGTTATAATGCAACATTTAAACCCATAATTATTGTTGCATGCTACGTGGATATTGCTGCATCAAACGCGAGAAAACTTTCAATTAACTACGTAAAACACACAACCCAATAATTTCCAGCGAATAATGACGGAGACGTCTGCGTAAATATTTTCTTCACAAAGCTCAGCCATCAAACAAACGACGTTTTTTATTCAGCAACTGTGTAAAATATCCAAGCAGCCATAACAAAATCGTAAAAGTAATCTTTCCAAGTAGGTGATTTATAGTAAATGATCTTGAACGTGAGACCTAAGAAAAAATTCAAATTTAGATTGATTTCAGTTTTTATGGCTGTAATCAATTTATCCGTTTGAGAAGAAATAAGGGACGTTCTTTTCAAACTACCCCACTTTGTATTTTTCGCATTTTTGGAATATTGACGGTTTAAAACTTTACTGGATTTATCGAGCAAATATCGGAAGTAAATGCTCCAGTCGGAATAAATGAGCCTCAGTTCGGCTGTTTCAAGATATTTACGACACAGGTCACCGCTGCAGCCGTTCGGTTTATTGTTGACGGATGTTTCGCGTTAATAGATGTTTAAAAAAGTAACATAATGAATCAAAGTGGTTTATTTCGTGCTGGTTGCTGCGTTGCTGAGCTAGCGACCGCGGTATTGCTCCTAGTGTGTTTCTCTCAAGATTCTCTGGCGTCGGCTTATTTTTTGCGAGGTGTAAACCATGGGCGATCAGCTCCTCATATATATTTTTTATTAAGTGGATCAATATTGCGAATCCCTTTTGGGCGCGTAACGATATTGACCGTGTTTGCCCTTTGAATCGAGATTGGGTCTTGGACTTGGGTCTTTTGCGTGGTGAGCCGCATCGAGAAGAGATCGTGATTTGCAGGAACGCCAACCTGATTAGACCCAGTGACGCCGCCACCGCAGTTTACGGCTCCAGGAAACGGTCGTTACATTCAAACTGTCACATTCACTATCCCCTCGTAAACTAGCTTATCAGTGCTTCTGCATCTTACTTTATTATTGCGATGAGCCGGCTTATTATATGGCGGATTCCTGTTGGGCCTTCTTAATCATCTTGTCACAGCCATACAATAACGAAATAATTAAATTACTCCGCGGTAACGAGTTTTAACTGAAGTTATTTTTTCTTAAATAAATAAATAAATAAATAAATAAAGTTTATTGCCCAACAGAACTACACATTCCAGTTACAGGACAATTATAAAGAATATAAAAACAATGACAACAATTCAGAATCAAAGAAAATAACAAATTAATAAATTAAATGCATAAATAATCAAAGATCTCAATATAATGAAACATAAGAACAGTAACTTAACTTAAATAAAATTAAAATAGAAATAAATGAATGAATGAATAAATTAAAGCCGAAATAAATACCTACATTTATCTGCAATATCAAAAATCAAACACACAATCTGTAAATCTAGGCATATACATCAAGAAATAAATAACTTAAATTAAAATACAACAGTATGAAAACCATATCTGAAAGTAAAGTGTAAACTACTTAAGCTTAATTCTAACAGTGTCTTTTATAGACTTAAGGCTAGTGTTAAAAATGTCAAAATCGGAATTCATTTCTATTTCTTTTAAAAAATAGCTTATTAGATATATCGGTGCTTTTCTCCCAAAATTAGTTCTAGCAATGCTAGTGTATAATGTTACAGAATGCCTGCTGCTAGTTCTAGGTACCAGAAAGGACAAAGAATTAGTTAAGGCCCTGCAATCAATTTGATTATTTAATAATTTATATAAAAAGACGATAACGCCAGTAACACGTCTACAAAATAATGAACTCATATCAAATTTTTCTAGTAGAGCTGTTTGCGGATAATTTCTCGTTGGCCATGTTTTCTGTTCCTTAAAATAGAGGTACTTTAAAAATCTGCGCTGTATGTTCTCAAGGCATACTACTTGATAGTTGTAATAAGGAAACCAAGCTAACGCACAGTATTCTAATTTAGAGCGCACCAAAGCATAGAACAAAGTTTTCAAAGCTTGAATGCTAGTGAAATCTTTGCAGTTTCTAATAAGGAACCCTAGTGATCTTTTAGCTTGTGAAGTAATGCTCTCCACATGTTCTGCAAAACTGAACTTATTATCATACAAAACACCTAAATCCAAAATGGAAGAGCATTTCTGTAAGCTGTGATGATTGATTTTGTAATCAAACTCGCATACATTAAGCTTGTGTGTGAACGAAATAATAAAGGATTTATTCTCATTTAAAGGTAAAAAGTTGAGCAATGACCAAGAAACCAAATTATTTATGTCTTTTTGAAGAAGCAAGGAGTCACTATTACCACTAATTTCACGGTATATTTTAATATCATCTGCGAAAATGAGAACTTTTGAGTAGCGAATACAATCTAGCACATCGTTAATAAATAATGTGAATAGCAAAGGACCAAGAGTGGAGCCCTGCGGCACTCCAGCAGCTGTGATGTAACTGTTGGACTTAAATCCATTTACTACCACAAAATTGTTGCGCTTAGTCAAATAAGATTCAAAAAGATTTGTGAGAGAATTAGAGAAACCAATATTCGACAGCTTTCTTAATAAGAGCTGGTGGTTGACTCTGTCAAAGGCCTTTGAAAAATCACCATACATCACGTCCAATTGACCTCTGTTATCCAAAGCCTGAGATATATCTTGGGAATAGCAAGTTAAATTCGTTAAAGTGGATCTGCCCATGGTAAACCCATGTTGGCCCTCATTTACTAACAACTTAGTTTGGAAGGAGATCTGATTAAAAAGAATACGTTCAAATATTTTTGAAAAATTGCACAGCAACGAAATAGGTCTATAATTGCTCACTGCTGAAACATCACCACTCTTGAAAATGGGCACAATCTTGGCGGTTTTCCACTTATCCGGAAAGCATGAAGTTTTTAAAATTATATTAAAGATATGCATTAGGGGCTTAACGAAAACATTAGAACAGTCTTTAACCAGAAAACTGGGAACTTGATCATCTCCAGCAACTTGACTATCCTTAAGTAATTTTATTGCCCTGCTTACATCATCTTCAGAAATAACCACATTAATGCAACTATTACTAATACCTGTAAGCTGACTTGAATGAGCAAAACTATTCAATGAAGGATTATGAAAAGACGAAGAAAAGAATTTAGCAAAGCAATTAACAATATCAGCTGGGTTATCATGAAAATTATGGTTAAGGTGAACTTTATTGGGAATATTGGAGCGCCCCTTTTTTTCTTTGATATACGACCAGAAGTATTTAGGATCACGCAGTAAAGCATGCTGAACATTTTTAATGTAGTTATTAAAATCCCGACGCAAGAGTTGTTTAACAATACGACGTAAAGAACTGAAGTGATTTCGAAGATGACAGGAAGGCTTTCGTTTGATTTCTCTAAACACTTTATGCTTCAGAATGATTTGTTGTCTAAGTTCAGTAGTATACCAACTCGGGAAACTGAATTTGGAACATTTAAACAATGGTACATGTTTATCAAACAATGAGTACAATATTCTGTATAACGTCTCACAGGCACTATTCACATTAGTGGACTCATACAGGACATCCCAATTAGTGGTTAATAGACCATTATATAAAGAAACATAGTCCGCCTTTTTAAAGTTATAAGTTTTTACATCTGTACACATAGACAAATTTTCGTAGGTACCAGTTTTTAAAACCAAATTAATATTAAGCGCAGGATGGTGTCGATCTTCTGGCACAATAGGACAGGTGTCCTGTTCAACCAAACATTTGCCGTAATTGGTAAAAACTAAGTCCAGTAATACCTTATTACAGTTACGAATATTGTTATACTGTGTAAGGTTCAAAAAAGACATCATATTAAATACTAAATTAGATTTTGAATCCTTTACATTATTCGAAAAAGTAGGAGCATTGAAGTCACCAATTATAAGAATATTATCTAATTCAACAGCAATATTTTCAAAACATTCTAAAAATAATTCATATTCTTGAATGGACACATCCGGAGGAATATATATCACAAAAATAAATAAAGAACTACGTCCACAACATAACTTACAAGCAACTATATCAATAAGATGAAAAGCGTCGAAAACTGATAAATCAACACTCGACACAGGAAATTTGTCACTAACTGCTAAGACCACCCCTCCACCTCTTTGCCGATTACTACATGTAAAATTACGATCGGCACGAAACACACAATAACTAGATGGCATAAATTCACAATTACTGATTGATGAGTCAAGCCATGACTCAGTTAAACAAATGACATCATAATCCGAAACATTTAAACAAAAAAATACCTCATTAACTCTCGACCTAATGCTGCGAACATTTTGGTAATAAATAGGTAGATAATCATTACCACAACTGTTGGGCCGGTTTAGTTTAAAGTAACATTCGTCGCTCTCTTCATGATGGAGTTTCTTCAAATTAACTCCGTCCCTGCATTTTTTCCTAAAAAATTCTTCTTTGGAAAATTAAACCGTCTTACACACACACCTTGTGGCCAAAAATCTTCACGTAATAAATTGTCCTTCAGACTAAAGTTTACACCAACTTTAAAGGCATCATATGTTCCCTGCAGCTTAAGATTTTCGACTATGACCTCATCAGTGGACAACTTTTTGGTTATATAAGCTTTGACACTACTAGTCTCAATGTTTTTAACAACTTTTCCGACGTAGAACCATGCTCTTTTAACGTAAGTAGAACGAAATTCACCATCATCTTCTTGCTTCGAAGTTCCAGTTATAGTGGGTACTTGTTTTCTACGATTGCTTCGATTTCTTCTTAGTTCCATCCACGGATTTTCCACTTTGTCATGAAAATTTATTTCGTCGTCCCTACTCACACGAAATTCATCTGTTTGTTTATTGGTAACAGTAGTTGACTCCTTTTTTTGAATTTTCTTTCCACGATTTCTTGCGCTGTTCTTGTTATCGTTATCGGTGCTTCTCTCACCTTCAGTGAAAGGTTTATTCAAGTTCACATCAACTTTATCACGAAAATTCGGAAAATGTAATGACTGACTTGGCTTATCAATTGATTGTGTAACGACTGACGACCATTTAGGAACTGTAGATTTTATTTCTTGAGAAGAAAAGAGCTTTGGAGCAAGACTGGGGTTACTTTGTGTCATTAATTTAATCAAGTCCACATTAGTTTCTTTTAAATCTCGAACTTCCATACGCAACAACTCAATTTCATGCATTAAGGGCCGAGTTACCTTTTGGATAATCTTTTCAATATCTTCATGGGAAAATTCAAATATTTGCGACTTGTTACTTGCATTATCCACACTTTCACCATTATCGCAACAGATTATTTGCGCATCACCTAGGTACTGCACATTTTTTAATAATTTCACACAGCTGGGATGACTGAGCGAATTGCACTTAACACATTTAAGCCCTGTCACGGGTATAATTTTACATTTCTTACACGCATCCCCAGAGGGATTGTTGGAAACGTCCGCACTCTCCGGACGCATAGCGATATAGTGTTTTTCGTTATTAAGTGAGGATTTATACACGCTGACTTGGTTAAAGCCGGATTCGTTTTTCTTTTATTACTTTTTTCCCCTTTTAACGAATGTGTTTTGAATAAAGGACCTCTTACACCGGGTTAGTTTGAAAGAAAACCCCGGTCGTGATGGGAATATTTATTTCGTAAAATATGGTGCATTAGCTTTGTTGTTGTTTGTTATAGCTAATACAATGCATACGAGGAGAAGGCACGCCGCCACCACGGAATTCTAAAAATGCTCCCTGGAAACACGAACAGATGGCTAAGAGTAAACTTATCTCTTCAACAACACAAAATTATGCTATTCCCTTGCAAACCTCCTTCGAATTCTGAAGATTTTTGGATGTTTCTTTGTAATTTTCAGCTTCATAAATTTTGTTTTTTCGATACAATTTTCAAATATTTAATTATATTAACAGTGATTTATTTATAAAATGCGTTGAAGTTTTCGAAATTTAAAAAGTAAATTTAATGAAGCCATTTTTAATGTAAAAATTTTCAAAAAATGTTTTTGAAATTAAAAACTTTTTGATAAATATTTGTTAGTAATTTGAAGGTTTTTGAATTTTTAGAACCATTGACATGTTCCGTAACAAAAAGAATAACAAAGGATAAATACATTTCGAATAAATTTCAAAAATTTAAAAAGTGGATTTTTATGAAGCCATTTTTTTGTGTTCATAGTTTTTTCATTTTTAAAAATTTTCAAAAGTGTCGTTTTGAAATTTTTAAGTTCTTGATACTTGATTTTAAGGTTTTTCAAAATTTTGGGTTTCTTTTAGTATAAATTTTGATTTACTAGATTTTAATTTGGAACCATTTCTGAGATTCTCTTTTCTAAATTTTCTAAATTTCACCTAAAATTGTTCAGTTTTTAAACCGCATTTTGACAAATATTCACATTTACTAAAGTAAAAAGAATAAAAATAACTAAATTTTAAATAAATTTCACAAAATTTTTTTAGAAACTATTGTTTTGAAATTTTAAAATTTTTAATATTTCTTATTCATTTTTGAAAATTTGCGATTCTGGAGAAGTTAGAGTCATAGAGCTCGAAATAAGCAAGAAAATGTATGTAGTAAAGTTTCGAAAATGGTCAAAAATAGTCCAAAATTTGAAGAAGGAAATATTAAAAAAATCTCAATTTTTGAAAAAGTTGTCCAACAATTCTCAAAAAATTCAGAGATGTAAATCTCGACGTGCCATATTTGCTAAGACAAGACTGATTTTGGCAAATGACGTACCATAAAAAAAATAAAGGGCGGGTGGGCGGGGCTAGTATTTGCTAAGATAAGACTGAAAAATGTTAAGGGTATTTACTAAAATGAAGAAGGGGTGGATGGGAGGGTCTAATGCTTGCTTATAAGACTTTGCTGAAAAAAGTTAAACTTATTATACTTTGCATTTTTTAAGCCTAGTTCGCCACTTGACACAGTAAAATTCAGTCATCATCTAATAAAAAAGAAAACAATAAAATTCAAAAGCGGTGGTGGGTGGAATTAGTTTTACGTAACAAAAAGAATAACAAAGGATAAATACATTTCGAATAAATTTCAAAAATTTAAAAAGTGGATTTTTATGAAGCCATTTTTTTGTGTTCATAGTTTTTTCATTTTTAAAAATTTTCAAAGTGTCGTTTTAAAATTTTTAAGTTCTTGATACTTGATTTTAAGGTTTTTCAAAATTTTTGGTTTCTTTTAGTATAAATTTTGATTTACTAGATTTTAATTTGGAACCACTTCTGAGATTCTCTTTTCTAAATTTTCTAAATTTCACTTAAAATTGTTCAGTTTTTAAACCGCATTTTGACAAATATTCACATATACTAAAGTAAAAAGAACAAAAATAACTAAATTTTAAATAAATTTCACAAAAATCTTTTAGAAACTATTGTTTTGAAATTTTAAAATTTTTAATATTTCTTATTCATTTTTGAAAATTTGCGATTCTGGAGAAGTTAGAGTTCCAGAGCTCGAAATAAGCAAGAAAATGTATGTTAAAGTTTCGAAAATGGTCAAAAATAGTCCAAAATTTGAAGAAGAAAATATTCAAAAAAATCTCAATTTTTGAAAAAGTTGACCAACAATTCTCAAAAAATTAAGAAATGTAGATCTCGACGTGCCATATTTGCTAAGACAAGACTGATTTTGGCAAATGACGTACCATAAAAAAAATAAGGGGCGGGTGGGCGGGGCTAGTATTTGCTAAGATAAGACTGAACAATGTTAAGGGTATTTACTAGAATGAAGAAGGGGTGGGTGGGAGGGTCTAATGCTTGCTTATAAAACTTTGCTGAAAAAAGTTAAACTTATTATACTTTGCATTTTTTAAACCTAGTTCGCCACTTGACACAGTAAAATTCAGTCATCATCTAATAAAAAAGAAAACAATAAAATTCAAAAGCGGTGGTGGGTGGAATTAGTTTTACGTAACAAAAAGAATAACAAAGGATAAATACATTTCGAATAAATTTCAAAAATTTAAAAAGTGGATTTTTATGAAGCCATTTTTTTGTGTTCATTGTTTTTTCATTTTTAAAAATTTTCAAAAAGTGTTGTTTTGAAATTTTTAAGTTCTTGATACTTGATTTTAAGTTTTTTCAAAATTTTGGGTTTCTTTTAGTATAAATTTTGATTTACTAGATTTTAATTTGGAACCACTTCTGAGATTCTCTTTTCTAAATTTTCTAAATTTCACCTAAAATTGTTCAGTTTGTAAACCGCATTTTGACAAATATTCACATATACTAAAGTAAAAAGAACAAAAATAACTAAATTTTAAATAAATTTCACAAAAATTTTTTAGAAACTATGGTTTTGAAGTTTTAAAATTTTTAATATTTCTTATTCATTTTTGAAAATTTGCGATTCTGGAGAAGTTAGAGTTCTAGAGCTCGAAATAAGCAAGAAAATGTATGTAGTAAAGTTTCGAAAATGGTCAAAAATAGTCCAAAATTTGAAGAAGGAAATATTAAAAAAATCCCAATTTTTGAAAAAGTTGTCCAACAATTCTCAAAAAATTCAGAGATGTAGATCTCGACGTGCCATATTTGCTAAGACAAGACTGATTTTGGCAAATGACGTACCATAAAAAAAATAATGGGCGGGTGGGCGGGGTTAGTATATGCTAGGATAAGACTGAACAATGTTAAGGGTATTTAATAGAATGAAGAAGGGGTGGGTGGGAGGGTCTAATGCTTGCTTATAAAACTTTGCTGAAAAAAGTTAAACTTATTATACTTTGCATTTTTTAAGCCTAGTTCGCCACTTGACACAGTAAAATTCAGTCATCATCTAATAAAAAAGAAAACAATAAAATTCAAAAGCGGTGGTGGGTGGAATTAGTTTTACGTAACAAAAAGAATAACAAAGGATAAATAGATTTCGAATAAATTTCAAAAATTTAAAAAGTGGATTTTTATGAAGCCATTTTTTTGTGTTCATAGTTTTTCATTTTTAAAAATTTTCAAAAAGTGTCGTTTTGAAATGTTTAAGTTCTTGATACTTGATTTTAAGGTTTTTCAAAATTTTGGGTTTCTTTTAGTATAAATTTTGATTTAATAGATTTTAATTTGGAACCACTTCTGAGATTCTCTTTTCTAAATTTTCTAAATTTCACCTAAAATTGTTCAGTTTTTAAACCGCATTTTGACAAATATTCACATACACTAAAGTAAAAAGAACAAAAACAACTAAATTTTAAATAAATTTCACAAAAATCTTTTAGAAACTATTGTTTTGAAATTTCAAAACCTTTGATATTTCTTATTCATTTTTGAAAATTTGCGATTCTGGAGAAGTTAGAGTTCTAGAGCTCCAAATAAGCAAGAAAATGTATGTAGTAAAGTTTCGAAAATGGTCAAAAATAGTCCAAAATTTGAAGAAGGAAATATTCAAAAAATCCCAATTTTTGAAAAAGTTGTCCAACAATTCTCAAAAAATTCAGAGATGTAGATCTCGACGTGCCATATTTGCTAAGACAAGACTGATTTTGGCAAATGACGTACCATAAAAAAAATAATGGGCGGGTGGGCGGGGTTAGTATATGCTAGGATAAGACTGAACAATGTTAAGGGTATTTACTAGAATGAAGAAGGGGTGGGTGGGAGGGTCTAATGCTTGCTTATAAGACTTTGCTGAAAAAAGTTAAACTTATTATACTTTGCATTTTTTAAGCCTAGTTCGCCACTTGTCACAGTAAAATTCAGTCATCACCTAATAAAAAAGAAAACAATAAAATTCAAAAGTGGTGGTGGGTGGAATTAGTTTTACGTAACAAAAAGAATAACAAAGAATAAATACATTTCGAATAAGTTTCAAAAATTTAAAAAGTGGATTTATATGAAGCGATTTTTTGTGTTCATAGTTTTTTCATTTTTAAAAATTTTCAAAAAGTGTCGTTTTGAAATTTTTAATTTCTTGATACTTGATATTAAGGTTTTTCAAAATTTTGGGTTTCTTTTAGTATAAATTTTGATTTACTAGATTTTAATTTGGAACCACTTCTGAGATTCTCTTTTCTAAATTTTCTAAATTTCACCTAAAATTGTTCAGTTTTTAAACCGCATTTTGACAAATATTCACATATACTAAAGTAAAAAGAACAAAAATAACTAAATTTTAAATCAATTTCACAAAAATTTTTTAGAAACTATTGTTTTGAAATTTTAAAATTTTTAATATTTTTTATTCATTTCTGAAAATTGGTGATTCTGGAGAAGTTAGAGTTCTAGAGCTCGAAATAAGCAAGAAAATGTATGTAGTAAAGTTTCGAAAATGGTCAAAAATAGTCCAAAATTTGAAGAAGGAAATATTCAAAAAATCTCAATTTTTGAAAAAGTTGTCCAACAATTCTCAAAAAATTCAGAGATGTAGATCTCGACGTGCCATATTTGCTAAGACAAGACTGATTTTGGCAAATGACGTCCCATAAAAAAATAAGGGGCGGGTGGGCGGGGCTAGTAT